CCTTGTTTGAGTGTACTGAGTATAAAACACTCGAGCTGTGGAAAATATGTAAAAAAAAACAAAACATCCTTACTCTAAAGTAAAGACCGCGCTGTCAGCACAGGTTTACACACAATTTTACATAATCTGTTAATAAGTGAACTGTTTCTTTTTAAACCTGAGGAATGGACACTAACTGGTAATTAGGAATCATCATCATGACTCTCTTCACAGCTTTATTACTTATTAGGTCACTGATCTCTTCCATCACAGTCTGACTTTGGCTACGCTTTGAGCTTTACACAAAGTTACTGAAACTTATTTGTTCATAATAAATAAAGGAGTACGTCTCAGTGGAGCCTCTGATATGTAGTCTAAACATCGCAGTCAGCTTTAACTCACTGCTGTCATAGGACTGGAGTCCGTCAGTGATTTCATGATTTATATGATTTTTATTTAAACTGATGGACTGATCTTTGTTTGTGCTATCAGAGGTGCTGCTGGCTTCTAACTTACATTTTATTTTACTTTATTTTATTCATGTTTTTTCTATTGAATTGCTAGCAGCCCTGCTCTAACTCAAAGCTGCCTTACACCCCACCCTACACACCTGGCTTCTAAAATCGACATAATATAGTCCCATCTCAGAGATAAACGAGCACATCACAGTGCAACAGCTAGAGTATTATTACTTCTGTATGGTGATGCATTTCTGACAATACTGACTTTATAAAAGTTATACTGTGTAAAATGTAATTAAAAATGACCTTAATATGTCATCCTAAAAACATCTAAACTATGCAGTTCTGGTTAAACTGGTGTAGCTTCTCCACCAAATGCTACAGTCCGGCCAGAGCCTCATAGATATGCAAGACAAATTCAAGAATTCCTTCACAAATGATGTTGCAGTTGCTGCAGGATAGTTATTTAACTGTATAATAACATAGGTGCTGAACAGACTTGCTTTTATATAGGATTATAACCAGAAAAAAACAGTTGAGTTGAGCCCACCATTGCAAAAAGAAAGGTAGCACTGGAGTTGAGCTCATCAGTCCAAACTGACTGAAATTGAATGAGATGTATTGTCAATCTGTCTGCATTTATAAAAATGACAGCTTCACCAATTTGTAAGAGAGTTACTCCACTCAATCTGAGTCGGCCAACGCTTGCTTGTAGAAAGGTTGTCAAAGGTGCAATGGGCTTGCTGTTGAAAGCGTTCACTACAACTTCTTGTTTTTGCCAAACGAGAAGAAAATTCAGTGCATTCACCAGGCGACAACCAGTTTTTCGTAGTCACAAGGAAGTTGCTGGCCTATTTTTACTCTAGTGTGACTGAGACTTGATAAAACCAACTTATATAAGGTGTTCCATCAGGATGCTGAAAGTATTTTTTTTTTTTTACTGCTTGACCAGCTTGATCAAGCTTGACAGAGCCATCTTAGAGAACCACCACCTCAGGTTATGAAAAGATGGCTGTCATACCGCTTTGAGCTGGATTTTGTAGAAGGATTAAGCTGCCGAGGAAGTTGCCGTAAATGTGCGTCGTGCAGAGGCGGATTTGGGTTCTCATGTATCAGATTAATCACTAAAACATACAGCCTTTCCTAAAATACCACCAAGTCTGCACTGTGGTAATGTGTTCAAACCCCACACGGACCACACAGGCTATTTTTGGAGTGCGTGCGCTTTAGAGTTGTTTTAGATTTCAGTCACTTCTCTGTCAGTGGCACCGCACATACTTTGTCTGTCGCTCTGAAAGACAATACTGGAAGGTTTGGGTTTGAATCTCACTGGGAGAACAGGGCAGAGTATGTGCTTTATCTGTCAGTCTCCAGGCCTGTGGGTTTATGTGGGTATGTCTGTGTTTGTGCATGTGCACACGCGTGCATGTGTGTTTGTGTAATAGTCTGCGGTGTCTATAAAGACTCTTAGTATTTGTGTTGCTGTAAAACGAGAAGGAGGCTGTGCCAGTCTCTGGTAACAAACACATGCACATTAAGACACGTTTTGCAGTCAGGTCTTTGGTTTTGTGAGTTTCAGACACACACACACACAGAGCACTATGGTTTTCATTTGCTATGGATATCGATGTTTGAAGCCAAATTATGATGGAACACTGCTGCTCAATCATTTAGCGGTTACACACATACACACATTCCTTTCCTTCTCCGCCCGCTGTTAGTTTTATCCTCTTCCCTGTTCCTTTGCTATTTCCAAAGCCTCATCTTAAGCATGTTTAATACATTTATATCCTATTTTTCCAGTGTGTCCTAGTTTGGTGCCACAGCATTATGCTAAACGCTGCTGCGATGAGGAGTAGAACTGCACAGTTAACATGAGCTCTCAAGTTTCTCTTTTCTCCTGTGCTTTGTGTTTCTTGCAGGCAAACATTAAACAAAAGTGTCACAGCGGACTTCATAAATCTGAACCTTCACTTGCAGGTTAAGTCACATTTTTGGCATTTGCTGCCATCTGCTGGCAAAATATTTTGTCCAACACGAGTTACATGTCTTTATTTGAGTTTACAATTTGAAACTGAATCCAAGACATATTTATGAATGTAAAAGTGAGCTATGCAGGGTCTGTCTTCTGCTGATTAACAGGTAGTTCATAAGTACAAGGAGGCGTTCAGGGATTAGTTAGGATTGACAAGGACTTACATTAATGTTTGTAATTAATAATCACAATATCTCAAAATAGTTTTAATCATATTTGAGACCATTTCATATCTCATATATGTTCTGTTTGTATATTTGTAGACCTGAGAGAACTTAGAGGAGCTATACAAGTGGATTTGGAGCTCAGCCCCTTTCTGTTCTCACCTTCGTCCCCTTTGCCTGCAAAGAAAGTTTTCATGTTAGTATGCATTATTATTATTGACAGCTATGTAATTAATATTAAAATAGCTGCTTCACTTTCATTGCTTGTTTTTGTCTTCTTATTCCATTAAATATTTATATATTTATAATTTTTGAATGTGAACACGATGACGCTTTTCCTATAACACCATCTCAAAAAATACCTTCAACTGCTTCTTTTTGTTGTCATTGTGAATGAAAATTCCCTTAATTCATGAACTTCTGATTCCTTTTCTACAGACTGACAGCAGCACAAAGCTCAGAGAGTCTGAAAACCTTATCTCCTCCATCACTCCTAAGACCGCATCCACCTCCTCCTCTGTCCCCTCCTATACCCAGGCCTCCAGCTAGACCCTGTCTCTCTAAGATGTCAACATCCAGGACTCACGGTCAGCATAGAGTCACATCAGCTTTTAATAAGTCAAGCAAAACACCTACCTGCAGCACTGCTGACACATCTGGGCATACACAGGGTCTCCTCACCACTGACCACATAATGAGAAGTAATAACCAGTGCGGTTTTTGTCCAGAACAAGACAGTGCTGGTCTTTCCTGCAGGACCCTGGATTCTACGGCTAATTTTGAAGTAAAATCTGAGAGAAACTCACCCCTACACAAAACCCATTTATCAGTAAACTGCAGGATTCACAGCCAAAGCACAGAGTGTGAATGGTCACCACAGAGGGAGAGAAAGAGCAGTCCTGCGTACAGGCCAAGAAACATCAATATCACCCCATCACCTGTTCCTGCTCCCAGCGGTCTCTGTAATGCAGGCAGTTGCAGCAACAAAAGTACTGACCAATCTGTGGCAGCGAAATGGAAATCAGGTATTCAAAAGAGGCAGCAGGATAGTAACTGTGAAGGCAGTTTAGAATCAGCGAGAACACAGTCATATCCTGATAGCAGGAGGAAGATGTCTGAGAATTCAGTCATGTCTGAAACTCGGAGAACTCCTGCACAGACATGCAGAAGGAAGAGCAACGGTGAGACTTCTAGAAATTTAAGTGGAGCCTTCAGGAATGATGGCAAAGAGCAACAAAACCTGGGTGGCCAGTGTGCAACACTTTGCTCCTCTCATCCTTCAGCTGCATGCAGTCAGCGACCACCAGCAAAGATTAATGAACATTTTTTTACCTCTTCAAAAAAACCACAAGGGGGAAGCACAAGTCAGCCAAAAGAACCAGCAGAGCCCCAGTTTCTCCAGAAGTTTCATCAGCCAGTGCCTCCTACCAGAGTGCAAACGTAAAGACAACTACTACCTGAGGGTAGTAGTCATCTACCTTCTCTTTTTATTTTTTATTTCCAAGCTGGATGGATTGACAGTTGCAAAAAATGTTTTACATGGTTTGTAAGGATTCAAAAAATAATAATAGCAGAATACAGTATGGTGTCTTGAGCCACTTCTTATTTCTTCATATATATTTAGGTTTGAATGCCCTCTATATTTTCATTTTAAGGTACTTTGCTGGGTGTTTCGGCCATTATCACTAGACACCCTCATCCAAGCAGACCATGCCAGGGTTGATCAGGCCCCGGAGTGTGTCACTGGTTTATGTTAAAATTGTTATTTCTCTTCTTCTTTCTTCTGTTTAGTTTTCTTCAGGTTATTTTCTATCTATTCACTGCAACTGAGAAATAATACTTACCTCTTTAGCATTAATGGAGCCTCACTTCTTCAAAGGGATAGAAAAGGTGATAGAGAGAAGTAAGACAAAAGGGACAAGATAGGAGAGAGCAGAGAGGAGAGCCGGAAGGGGGGTGCCGATCTGGCTGAGACAGCTGTATATCAGTCAACTAGCAAAAGTTCTATTGTTATGTTTTACCATTTTGACGCCCCCTGTTGAGGCAGGGGGCTGACATCACTTAGCTGCCCAAGTGATGTCAGTCCTTTTTAGCCATAGCCAGTGACTAGTCCTCTCAGCAGCGTTAGCTAATTGTCTTATAGCCCACCATTGCACTTGTCCTCTGACCCCAATCTCTCTAAGCAGTTTTGCTGTTGTACTGGCAACAAAGCCCTTGCACCCCACTTCCACCAGGGGCACCTTGATTGTCCAGCCTCTGTCTGCCTCAGCTGCCAAGTTGGCATACCGCATTTCTTACACTCAAATGCTTCCTCCCATGATACCATCAGCTCAATGACGTACGCAAGTTTTGGGGAGTTAGACCAAAGGACGAGGTCTGGTCGCAGAGTAGTTGTTACAATCTCTGTGGGAAAAATTACCCTCTGATCCAAGTCCACTTGCATCTGCCAATCCCTGTTTGACCTTCAGCAGGCCCAGGTCCGGGGTTCCTTAAGAATGGCTCCCAAAAACCCATTCTTAAGGAAGGAACGGCAAGGAAAATCTGCTATATGACAATTTACACGAACTGGACCAAAACTCAGTGGCAATAGATCTTATGGAGTGATGAATCCTGATTTGAAATTTTTGTTTCAAAACGTCAGTAATTATAGAGCAGCTCAGAAAGTAGTCAGAACAGTTAGTGTCAAAAGCCATCTATAAAACATGGTGAAGACTTATCAGAAGACTACTTAGAGAACCAGAATAGGAAGGGCCTTTACTGGGCAAACACTGAGGTCAGTCATCTGGAACTTTTTGAAGAGGAGCCATGACTTTCATTTTTGGTTTCTTTCATTTTTGATTTGGTAAAGTAACTTTTATGCAACTAATATGCAAATGTGAATTTCTGAAAAAATTGTGGTGAGATTGTGGCTACTGTGCTGTTGCTTAGCAGGGTTGGGCTTAAAATTTGCCCCTTTTTTAAGGGGCATTTGTGTTATCTCATAGCCTTTGCCAGGACCTTTTTATTTTTGTAATCTTAGAGAGGAAATTTAAATCCACCAATGAGAGCCATCAATTTTAGGTGAGTCATCAGTTAACCAGCAGTGACATGTAACTGCATTCTCTGACGTGCGTAACCAAAGCTTCATTATTTCTGTCGCACTGTTACTGTTCCTTTAAAGGACGTGTTTGGGCGTATGTGCTGATAGGGCAAGAGTGTTGACGGGACTGGAGAGAAAACTCCGGCATTAGCTGTCCTGTTACACACCAATAAACCGCTGGTGAAAGAAGAACTTCTGGTGCTTGGGAGTCTACACAAACGTTACAACACATTTGTGTACAGAAAGTGTTCAGCATCGCAACAATTTATTTTTTACCTGTCAGACAGGAGAAATACTGAGGTCAGTCATTTGAAACTTCTTAAAGAGGAGCCACGACTTTCACTTTTACTTTTGGTAATTGTAAAGTAACTTTGACATTATATTCTATGCAATTTTTACAAAACTTGTGCTGGGATTGTGGTTACTGTACTGTTGCTTTGCCTGATGCGGGGCTAGGGTTCAAATGTAACCTTTTATTTAAAAATACGCTAGTCTTACATTTTATGTGTGTGTGTGTGTGTTTGTGTTTGTGTGTATTTTAGGAAGGAAATGCCTCCTTAATAGTTTAAATGTGAAATATTAAAATTCAAAACAAATATATTGCCTAATTTTTGCATGACAGAGGAAGATATTTCTCTGCCCTGCATGTGGAGAAGTCGGTTTCAGGTTTTATTAAAGCACATATTACTGTGCATTATGTGTCACCAGGCATGTTTTAAAGTAATCCACCTGTTTGACAAGTAAAGGTATCAGGAGTTGAGACATGTTCTTTTTTATCATTATTCTTGTTATTTAAAATTGTAATATTATTGTATTTAGTTTAACATGTATTAAGTACAATTCCACATTTAGCCTCATATAATTATTTATTCAGAGCTGGCTGCATATTTTAAACTTACCTTTTGTTCTCATTCCCATTTGGGTGCTACACCTTTCCTTTGCTTCTACCATCAACTGAGCTATAACATAATGCAAATGGTAACAGTCAGCAAGTCCACAAATTTAGCCATACAGATTCACTCGCTTTGACTTGGAATAAGTCGAATTTCGATACTTTCCCTGATTTGATCAAGTTGGATGAAATAACTATCATGTTTTTTAATCTGACATTGATTAACATGCCCAAAATCGTTTAATTGATTGGTGGATAATCCGTTAGCATGTTAAGGTAATTGGATTTATGTGTGCTGAAAACATACAGTCTTGTTTTTTTAAAAATTTTACCATTTGAACGTGCATCCTTCACGGTGGGGAATGCCGGTGTATTTATGAAACAAACCCAAAGGCAGACACGGGAGAAACGAACTAAGGTTTAAACAAAACCTCCTGTATAGGAGGTTTGACTAACGGATGGACTCTCCTTCCCAGCACCCTGGCATATACCTTCCCATGGAGGCTCAGGAGTGTGATTCCCCTGTAGTTGGAACACACCCTTTGGTCCCCTTTCTTAAAGATGGGAACCACCATCCCGGTCTGCCAATCCTGGGGTACTGCCCCTGATCTCCACGCAACATTGTAGAAGCGTGTCAACAAAGACAGCCCTACAACATCCAGAGCGTTCAGGGACTTGGGACGGACCTCATCCACCCTGGGGCTCTGCCACCAAGGAGTTGTTTAACTGCCTCAGTGACCTCGCCCCCGGA